GGACTTGGTGAACTCTTCGGACCCAAATGCCCTGCCATTGTCTGGAATGAGCTGCAAGGGTTTGGGATAGTGAGTCAGCCATCCCTCGCAGAAGGCCTTGATGACCTGTTGTGCAGTCTCAGTCTTCATGACGAGGAGCTCAAAGGGAGGCATCACCGGGACGACCACTCGAAGTTTGGTGGCCATGTCCAGCATCAACAGTCCCTTCACTTTCTTCTTTTGTCCAGGCACCGTCCAGTCGAAGACATCTATGCCGACGGTGGTCCAGGCTTGAGGTAGTTCATGGGTTGCGGCTGGTGGCACTCCTCCAGAGCTTGAGCCGCCAGGTTTCAGGGACTCACATGCTGGGCATTTGAAGTTCTCAGCGATGCGAATCTTCCAGAGAGGTTGGCCTGAATCTCGAAGAAGTCGGACTGTGTTGCGAACAGTTGGATGGCCAGCTGCCTTGTGGTAATGAGCAATGCGGGCAGTCCATCTCTCTGCTTCTTGTCTGGATGGAGGCAATGCCATGGCTTCGGACTGAGATGCCGATGACGGAGCTGCTATGGCCTGATCTTCCTCTGGATCTTCCGCATTCTCAGCAGCCATGATGTCATTCTCATCGATGAAGTCCAGGGAGTTCACATCCTCCTTGGCCATGATGTAGCGAGATCGCTGTGCATTCACCATCTGTGACTTCCAGAAGCGGCTGATGGCTTCGACCATTTTCCATGGGTAGAAGGCTGACCGGCTTGTCTCCTGTCCGGTAATATTCACATGCTGATGGATGGAGCAGCACGTTTTTGCCTTGAAGCGGCTCCAGAAGCCTTCGTCCGTGGTGTTGATTCGCCACTTCTTGTGAATGAAGCCAGTGCCATCGATGGACTTGAGGTCATAGCGACATCCATCTATGCGGCATTGCTGCCAGGGAATGCACTGTTCTTCCATATATGCCTGTAGATCTTGGAGTGCTCGTTGATGCCAACCAAGACATTCTTTTGGCCATTCCCAGTAGATGAAGGTCTCGGGGTCCTCCTCCAAGGTGTCCTTGATGAAGCGTGCAGCGTAGCCAAGCATGCGACGTTCTTGACGACGATAGCTTTCCAACAGCTCTTGTCTTTCTGGACCTTGGTAGTTCAAACGGGTCCAGGGGCACCACTTGGTGCAAGGGAGTGAGAACCACAATCTCTTCGGACGTTTCACCTTTCTCTCATGAGCCAGCCGCTCCCAAGTGGCAGGTTGATAGAGATCATAGCCTTGGTGAAGATTGACCCTTTTGCAGTGCAGTCCTTGGCGTTCCGACGCCTTGGTGAGCCAGCTGTCAGGAGCGCAAGCAAACTCCCACAAGCCATCTCTTTGATCTTGCATGAGGTCCATGGCTGTGTTGGTCAGGGCTGTGGTCAAAGTGACGGCCATGAGCATCACCTTATGGCCGCCATGTGCTTGCTCACTGTTCGACATGCTCCTGCTGGTAGGCCTCTGCCAGGTTCTCGGGATCGGTGATCACGTGCCAGCTCTGAGTCGACTGCGATGGACTCTGAGTGCCAGGAGGTGTCATCTTTGCCTTGGCTGAGGGTGAACTGTACCCGTGGTCGTTCTCGAGCACTTGACGCTTGTCCTCTGGGCGCAGAATGGCCTGGTTGATCGTGACCATGAGGGACTCCTCCGCCTCGATCTTCTTGAACATTGCCCGACAGATGTCGATGGTTGGCTTGTAGCCGCGCATCAGTGGCTCCAGCTGGTTGAGCATCTTCTGAACCATTGCCGGACTGTCGTTGCGGGTCGTGTTGCCATGCTTGCCCTCCCGGGGCACGTACTTCAGACGAAGATGGCACACTTGGCAATCCACCCATTGGCCATGAGGGTTGCTCAGAGGTTTGCCCACCTGGTGCTGATTGTAGCACGGCCATTGATGGATCTGGCAGCGAGGGTCTCGAGGATCTGCGTACACCGCCCTCGAGGAGTCGAAGGGCGCCGGTGGTGCCTTCTTCGGTCGGTCACCTGCTTGACCATCGCCTCCACATCGGCTGGAGTCAAAGTCTTGGGAGCCATTCACGCCGAGGGAGTGCGAGTTCGAATTGGGGCTGGTGTCAACGAAGTGGACACGCGGCATCGAAGACTGAGCCAGATTTTGCCGGTGAGTCGCACCTGCTGCATGAACTCTTTGCAAAAGTGCTTTCGAACGATCATGTACATCTTCACTGACTGTCATGAACATGAATGGTGTTGAAGCTACCATATCATAGTACTCCAAAGGATGAAAAAGAAGAGGTTGAAGTGCAAATGCCGTCTGTTGATTGGACCCCTTGTGCACATGAATTGAAGCGTGACCAGACCCAACATTGCCCATCGTAAGGTAGTAGGAGATGTCCAGGATATAGTGTCCCTTGTTGTTGGTCTTCAACTGATATGCTTCGGGGTGTTCTTCATGTGCATTCAGGGCCAATCCCGTCATGAAGTCGATCACCATCGCGGATTCGGCTCCGGCCAAATGGTCCATGCCCAAAAGTATTGGAACCAGGGTGCCCTTGTTGGTGTCAAACTCAGGTGGATTTGGCAAAACATATAGTCCAAACGATCGAAGATGACCTGAAACCTTGCTGGAAAGAACCACTCTGTAAAGTGCCTGCCCCCATCGACCGTTCCCAAATCGAAAGTACGGTCGCGCATACGGTTGCACGTCGATGGAGGCTCCAGGATCAAAGCTCAGCAATGCCTGGATCAGTCCCTTGACTGATTCTTCAGGGCCTGCCGAGGCAGTAGCACCGCTATCAATCAAGGCCTCGCCAGGAGAAACATTGGCGGATGAGGCCGTATTCAAATGCTCAGTCGTGAGACTCTCATGAATCTCAAGCCCGTTCATGTAGAAGGGCTCCATGGCATAGGCATTCACAGCAGGTCGGCCAAGAGCTTTGGTCTTGCTCTTGCCCTTTCCTTTCCACATGGCATGTAGGTGTGCAGGTCGTGAAGGTGACTTTGACTTGGTTTTGCCCTTGCCCTTACCGATCATGTACGTGTCATACACTGGGGAGTAGTCCGTGTAGAAGGAGCTGTAGCCCTTGGATTTACCTTTGTGGAACTGGGGATGCATGCGATCTGGACAGTCTCGTGCCAGGTGCTGAGTTGAACCACACTTGAAGCAAGCGGGACGAGGCTGTCCCTTGCCAGTGACATGACCAAAGCCACGATCTTTCCGAAGAGCAGCTTGAGCACGTTGGGCCTCGGTCCATGTGCGCTGTTCCAAAGCCATGCCATCAGCTGTCTTTGAGGTGTCAGCTTCTGTTTCACCTGAGTCAGTCTGGGTTTGAGCCTGCAGTTCATGAACAGGCTCTTCATTCCAGGATTCCTCATAGGCATGGAAGCCATAGTTCTCGTCAAGGTCATAGTCCCAAGAGCTCCAATCGTCTGTGCCTACATAGGCATGCCAATTCCAGCTTTCATCATCCTCCCACCAATCATCGGCAGCTTGGGAGGCATAGAGCTCTTGAAACATCGCTTGTTGGCCAAATGAACCATTTCTACCCCCCAACAACTGATCATCCCAAAGGGTCTGAAGTGCTTGGGTGACAGTTTCAAACTCCAAGGAACCTTTGGTGGTTGAAATGATGTCACGTTTTTCATCAGGGTTCAAACCAGCTGCTTGAAGAAGTCTGAACCCCCTCAACACTCCAAGTACAAAGGAATCCGCTAATGAAAGTTCGTCGAGAGGCTTGGCTTGAGCAGGCGAGGTCCTCTCCACTGCTGGAGTTCCCGCTGAACCATGGTGACTAGGCGAGCCACCCATGTCTTGCAGACCAGCGGCAGCTGATGTCGTCGATGCTGAAGGCTTTGTCTTGGGATCTTGATCATCCTTGGAATCTTCTTCATCGTCAGGCGGTGGCTCTTCAGAGTCAGGCCACCACTCATCCCATTCATCCCATTCTTCAGCATCATCCGGCAAGCCGAAGTCTTTCTCCTCCTGCTTGATGCCAAGCTTGTCCTCGTGGAGCCTTGAAATGGCCTCAACGAACTCGGAATAGCCCAAAGCTTCTCTCACCAGGAAGGAATTCATGGCTTCTCCCTGATGGCGTTTGAACGAGAAGTATTGACTGCAAATCGCAGCCGCATTCGGAAGGGCTTGACGTACCAAGGGGCTCGCGGCCAGAAGACGAAGCAGCTTCTTCGTGCCGCCAGCGCTGTCAAAGTCCACATTGGCCCATGACATAGCCAGGAGCCTGGCTGGACCGGTGAGGCGACTGATGATCTTCGTGGCACAGTAGCGTCGCTTGTGCTGTGGAGTGGCCCTGATGTACCACCCGATCTCTCGAGTGAAGCGCCTCCAGGTCCGAGCTTCCCCATTCCACGTGGGGACATGTCCGCTGTCTTTGTCAGCCATGGTGCAAGGTCAAGGGTCCAGGTTCTATCACCTGGAAGTGCAAAACAAATGAAGTCCCACCAAAATCAGGTAATCGAGGAACACTATGTCTCGTGCACTGAGGTGGGAGAAAAACCAAAAGCTAGCTTTCCGAGGAGATCGAATCCCTTGAAGATGTTCTCAACTATAGGAAAGCAAAGTCAGGTCCCTGGAGCGGATTGCTCCGCTACCAATGCAGCGGAGGTAGCTGCACTGGTAGCGTAGCGGGCTAACAAGGTAGGTGGTGGTAGCGAACACGAAGCGAGCCCACCCAACCAAGGATCGCAATGATCCGGAGCACCTTTTCTCAAGTGCCGTCGAAAGGCCTCCTAGGCCTGTGTAGCCACCATGGCTGGGTTCCAGCCGAACGATCCGTGGATCAAAAGGGGGCCCCCTGGTTTGGGCCATATGCAAATGAAGAAAACATGGTGGCACCTGATACATGTCCCAAAGCTGCAGTATCCAAAAAAGGTACCGGACCCAGGTCCGGTAGTTGTCTCAGGGTCTATAACTTCCGCCTTATCGTTCCCAAAACGCACCATTCTAAGCTTCACAAACTGATACAAACCATGTCCACCCCAGTCGAATTTCGTTGGCACCTGAACCCAATCCGAACTCTCTGCCTTGCCTCCCCATGACCAGCTCCTCTGGGACATCTAGTGTCTCCGTCTCGCGCCTCAGCAGGCAGTTTGGCCCTGCTGTTGACTCAGGTGGATTTCAATGCAGTTGCCTCAGGTACGAGATCTTTTTCTGCGTAATCCTCCCGCAAAAAAGAACAGCCACGGCACCGGTCCACTTGAAACGTCTCGTCTCTGGATGAAACGTGCGGTTGTTCCCTTTCTTTCGGCTGAAACGTGCGTCCGTTCGCAGGGACGCACGGTTGCGACGGTTGTGTTTGTTTCTTTTAAACGTATACAGCGAACGGTTCTTGAGTGGCCGCACGGCAGCGAACCGCAGTGCGATTTTAAACGTATACAATCTTCATATCTGAGGGATCATATCGCTGTTCGTCCATAGTAATCGGAACCTCAAAAAGCCCATTAGCTGCTGTTGCACCGAACTCAAACGAAACGATCTCAGACCCCGCACGCGATACAACTCTCCTGGCATTGAAGGTGCCTTTGCCTTGGCTCTCATATGAACTAAACAAAATGAAACAAGCAGCCAAACTCACTACTCCACCAAAAGGCTTGCACGAATAATGCATCGACTTGCAGGTCGTGCGTCTCTCATTGCATATCATGACGGTAACTAACTATACGTATTGTAAAGGTATGGAGTGAATACCTATCACGTGTGACCGCTCGAAGTGTCAACGTGGAACGTGAAAGCTGCATGCGACTCTTTTGCGTAGCAAGCGTGAATGCTCAAGGGGCCCCTCATGGGCCAAGTTGAACCGTGAGAGCGGCGGGCGGCAAGGTTGGAAACCGCTCATGTCCTTTTGGGTGGCACCCAAATCACACCGGTGGTTGTGGCCAAGAAGCTCGTCAGAACTCTCGCCACTTCATCATCTCCTGCTGGGCGCAGAAGGCGCAGTAGTCATACTGCCTCATCGCGCCAGCATCGGCCCCAGAAAGGCCTTGGCAGTCCGGGTAGATGTGGTACTTGCTGCCTGTTCTTGTAGTCCACACTGACCTTGGCACTGGGTTGCGATCAAGCTCGTACTTGATGGCTTCCAGCTTGTCATAGGCAGTCTGCCATTTGATTCTCACATCTTTGTATTTGCCGTCGAGCTCCCCGATGTCACCGGACAGGTAGTCCCGCATCAGGGTGAGGTCGTCCACTTCCTTCTCCAATTCGTTGTTCTCGCCCTCCAGCGCGTCGAGCTGGTCTTTGAGCTGGGCGTTGTAGGCATCTGAATCTCGTAGGTCTTGTTGAAGTCGTGTGATCTCCATCTTGAGGAGGCCAAACACATTCTTTTCGAGAGCTGTCTCCGCCTGGGTGCCACATTCCTTTGTGCTAGAACTTGGACTCTCTGTCGTCATCGTCCAGGTCTCTGTCGTTGTCATTGTCCTCAATGTCGTCGGAGTCGTCGTTGTAGCCCTTCCCCACATGTGCCATCCCACCATGGTCATCAGTAGGATGAAGAGAGTGAGGGTCATCTCAGGAGAGAAAGCGAAGTCCAGGGCCATCTCGAAGCTAGGCTGCATGGCTTGCACCATCATCATCTGCGAGGTGAGGATCATGTAGGCCAGGCTATGTCGATTCCCTGATCGACTGATCGCATGTTTGCGAGCATTGGCCTGCCGTTCAGCCAGAGTCTTCTTCTTGGCGGCCTGGAAGGTCATGTCTGACCGAAGGGAGATTTGGTGACTCCTCAAACGGTCGGCGAACAGCTGCCTTGCTGAGGATTTGGTGACTCCATCAGCTAGCTGGATCTCTGAGCTAACCCAGCGCAGCTTCGTGTCCATGGAAAGCATCTTTTGCTTTGTGACCATGACCTCGATCTTCGTCCGCTTGTCTCCTTGGAGACTGGGTGTCTCGGCTTTGAGGCGTCGTAGAGGGCTTTGGCGTCTACCACCAGAGCTGAGGAGAGAGAGGGCTTCAGCTCGTTGACCTGTCGAAGCTGGAAGTCGTGCTTCAAGCATCCTTCCCAGAAGATGAGGAGGTACTCCAGGGCGTCCATGGCTGCTGAGCAAGCTTGACTCTCAGCATTCAGCGAGGATCTGCTGACCCTTGGCAGTTTGAAGCTCCTCCAATCCAGGACGATATAGTCGTGGTCGGAGGTGTCATCGAGCACGGCCTTATTGCAAAGAAGGACCAAGTATAGCCTCCTTGGCTCTCATTGTTTCTCCTCACACCCCAGGCGGCATCACTCATCGCCACCATGCACAGGTTGTCCAGCGAACCTCCCAATGATCTGAAGATCAGACCAGCGTCGTTGTTGTTCTTGGCGAAGCGGAGGGTCTTGTTTGCTTGCTGCAAACACCAACCGTGGATGTAGTGACTTCTCCACATAGAAGCGACACTGAGGCGCATAGGTGTGGTGAGGTCTGAGTTGCCGGCCATTGAAGTGCTCCAAGTAGCGCTCGAAGTGAGCTCTGCTCGCGAGAGTTGAGATCTCGCTCAGGATCATTGTCGGCGCAGGTCATGGGCTTGATGCCTTTGAGGTAGTCTGCCTGCGTCATGACTGACTCGGTGGCTGTTCGTGCCAGCTGACAGCCGCAGAACTCTAGAGGTCGTTCTCCTTCCTTGGTCCAGTGCTTGAAGTTGAAGGAGGTCTTGAGGCTGTCGGTGAGCTGCTGGTACGTTGGCGATGAAGCTAAGCCACAGCCAAATAGATCATCAACGTGGATGCCAACCATAGCTGTCAAGGCCTTGTTCTCATCGAAGAACATGTAGAGGCACTGATCCAGAGGATGGGATTGGAATCCCAACTGCAGTAAACGGCGTCTCGCCACTGCAAACCACTGCCTTGGAGCATCAGCCTGTCCGTAGAGGGGCTTGATCAAGCGCATGAGGGTGCCCGGAGGAACGCCGATCAACTCGCAAGCGTCCTTGGGGGTCCGGGCCCACAAGATCCTCTGCTGAGGATCACCCTGAAGGAATGCCGTTGCAACGTCGGCAGTCCAGCGCTCCCAGGAAAGCACCTCGGAGATGGCGATGATCACCTGGCGAGAGCTCCTTGACAAAGTGGGTGATGAAGTGTCGAGTTGACCTTGCAGCAGGTCGGGATCAGCAAATCCCTGAAGAACCAGTCTTGCCTTGGCCTTGAGGCCACCTTTCCCATCAGCTGCCCACTTGAGAACGAAGCGAGCGCGCATGACCCTGTTGTGGTCAACAGACTGTGGATCGAGTTCGATCTCCCAGACTCCGTTCTCGAAGATGCTGGAGAGCTCATTCTTCTTGCCCTCCAAGAAGGCCAAACGGTCTTCCAGGGACATTTTCTTCTCATTGAGGTCTGCGCTCTCCTTGACGTTCTTCTTCTTGGGGCTAGCGACACCGACTGCTTGCCAAGTGTGTCCACGGCCTCTGAGCGTCTTGCAGCGGCTGAGCTTGTCGGAGAGGTCGCCGATATAGTAGAGACCAGTCTTCTCTGCACCACTGACGGTGAGGGGGTACCAGGTCTTGCCTGTCCAAGCTTCGCTGAAGTGCTGCTGCTCCTTGGAGTTGACATAGATGGTCCGTGAACCTTGCTGAAGTGTCAGGCCGGTGGTTGTTTGTAAGTAGGAGGGGTCAATGGGAAAGGTCTCCGGCTTGTAGGTAGACTTTCTTCCCCAAACATGGTTTCTGACCAAAAAGCCGTCCTCATAGCTCCACCAGTCTGCGGTCTTGCCGAGGGTGAACTCGTGGGTCTTCTCATCATAGTGCCATCCGGACGGGAGAGGTGTGGACTTGCTGAAGTCAAAGCTGTTGAGATTGAGGTCCACATCACCATCATCTGTCCGGGCTTTCTTACGAGTCGCACATACTTGGCTTTTTTGGAAAAGTGCAGCCACAATGGTGCAGACAATGTGGCTATTAAGTCCTTCTGGTGCATGGAAGCAGGGGTTACTAACATGGGTGCTAGTGCAAAACAGCCATGTTGCATTTTAAGCTTGCGCAATTCTTCTTTTGGGCCCAAGTCAGTGGGGATGTGGACTTGGCTCTCACTAGCTTCCTTGACAAACCCAACCCCTTCTTCTGGGAGAAGAGTCTCCATCATGAGCATCTTTGTCATGTAGACTTCACCCCTGAAGTATTTCTCTGCCTCATACCAGGAGAACCAGCGCATGAGCTTAGCTACTGGGCCTAAGGCATTAAAGTTATTCAGCTTAGAGATTGTACTGAATACTTCAAATCTACCTTGGGCATCTGTAGGTTCTGCCAGGCCTCTCTCCCTTTGAATGTATGGGAGGTAGTGGAGGAAGGGATTACTTTCTGAAGACTTTTGATCTAAGAATTCCTGCCGTTTTGCTTTCTTCTTTTCCATCCAAGCCTTGCTGCCACTTGGGCCATAATTTATGTTAAACAAAAGTGCAAAACTTAGAAAAGTCTTGTACAAGGTGTGGGTCTTCCTCAAGGCATCACGAAGGTCGTTCCAACACCTGTGGTGCTCATCAAATTCAACAAGCACTGGCAAACCCAATTTATAGACAATGTAGTCCAACCCTGCCCTATTCAGGCTGCCTTGATCACTCAAGCTCACTAGGAGTGGTGTTTTGTTGATGTCAAAAGCACAGGGGATTTGCAGGAGGAGTGTGTTACTCTCTTCATCCTTTATATAAATTTGGCCTTGGATTCTGACTCTGGACTGGCTGCTTGACAGTGGTCTCCAATGCAAGTCTGCACCTAGCATGAATTTCTCAAGTGGCCAACCAAAAGCTGCAAGGGCATGTGAAAGGGCCTTGAGTTCATTATAGCTGTCAATCCTTGTCAGCCTGTTCACAGCTGCAAGTTCCTTGAGTTCCTCTGCAAGTTCAGAACTGACCAAAGGGGTCAGGTTCTGAATGGGAGGAAAAACAGCTTTTTTCACTTGGGGTGACCACAGGCAGGACACTAATGTTTCAACATCATATGTGGAGGGGTCCCAAGAGATAGCCAGGTGACATGCATTTGCAAATGCTTTTCTGGCATTCTTCATGTACAAGCCAACTTCCATCATTTGTTCATGTGTCACAAGGTGGCTGCCTGCTGGAACAATGTCCTTGTGGGTTTGCATGGAATGTTTTCTATGTTTTTTGGACTCTTTCATTTTCTGCAGGAGTACCCACTTGTTTACAAAGGGTGTTCTTTTGTGGTGACCTGCTCTAGTCTTCATTAGGGGCACTGCCTCAATTGGCTTTTGAAGTGACAGTACAGCTGCTCTGTCTAGCAATTGTCCACAAACAAGCAAGACATGGGGCCAAAGAAACCTTCCTGCATGATGCCATACATGTTTAACAGTAGGGTTGGTCTTGGCCCAAAGCAAGAACACCACCATATCCCACAAGTTGGTGTGGGAAAGTGGTGAAGAGATCTTGATGCCACAAAATTCTGTGCCCATGAGTTTGGACCAAGAGGCCACAGCACCAGCATGACTTCTGAAAAGGTCTTCCAGGTCCCTGGTCACTCCAGCATTGTCAAAGTTGACAGCCTGCTGATGCCACCCTTCATGCCCAAAGATTGTGCCAACAAAAACTGCAGAACTGGCCACCACCTTCAAG